TTTTTGGGTTTTTTGTGGCCATGCCACACAGCTTGCAGGACCTTAGTTCCCCAACCAGGGATTGAACCCAGGCCCTCAGTATTGAAATCATGGAGTCCTAACCACCGGACCGCCAGGGAATTCCCAGAGCAGCCATTCTTAAAACTTTTTTTGGCACAATGGTTACTCTCAGGGTCAGGAGAGATTTCTGGCCTTCACCTATCATTATGAGATGATTCACAATGGCCTGAAATCCAACAACATGGGTGCCCTTGCAGGAAGTACGTCTGCTCCTGACCTCACCAGCCATCGCTCCTTTTCGTCCATGACCCCCCTGACCATTTCCTTCTTGAAACCTCTCTAAGGCACCCGTGGCACTCCTTTCACTATTTCTTCTTTGAAAGGGGAGAGGAGCTAACCATCACTTTATATGCATTAGCTCCCCATTTCCACACAGTTAATAAACGTAGGCTCAGAAAGATTAAGTAAACTGCCCCAAATCCCATAGCCAGAAGGCTGTCTGACTCCACACTGGCAGCCTCTTTCCCCTTTTCTCCCATTGTATGTCTAAATAGGTCCCCAAGATTCTCGTCCATTGACACTCTATCTTTGGTTATCACATTCATTGTCTTCAACTATCACGTCTATGGAAAGGACTCCCAAGTCTCCACTTCCAGGCCTACTCCTTTTCCGTGCTCCAGAGCAGCCTGTCAATGGTCTGCATAATTCTCTAACATCCTGCCTATGTTCCTTCCACTGGCCTGGTGTTGGTCAGCCATGAGGGAAGATGACAGAGGTTCCAGGACTGATGACAAGGGTAAGAAAACAGTGAAAACAAGGTGGCAATGGGAGGTGCGGAGGCAGCAGCTGGGGGGTGCAGAACAGATACTTCCAGTCCTGGTATAAAGAAATGATATCCTTAAATTGTTTAATTACAAGTCCATGCTGTCAGCACGGATGTCTTAATGATGAACTGACTAAACAGCAAAGCACATGACACTACCCACAGTCTCTGCCAATCTCTCCCAGGACAGGGCAGGGGTCATGCAAAGTGTTTAGCACATTTTGGTTCTTAGGCAAGTAACTGCTTAAGAAACTGTTAAAGTTATACATTTTTATTTGTTTTTAGAAAATGTGGAGATAGTGATTGTAAGCTATCTTGCATATTTTAGTTTTTTTTTTTTTTTTTGCAGTACGCGGGCCTCTCACTGTTGTGGCCTCTCCCGTTGCGGAGCACAGGCTCCGGACGCGCAGGCTCAGCGGCCATGGGGGGCCCAGCCGCTCCACGCCATGTGAGATCTTCCCGGACCGGGGCACGAACCCATGTCCCCTGCATCGGCAGGAGGACTCTCAACCACTGCGCCACCAGATATTAGTATTTTTAAGGCAAATTACTCAAACGCATTCCTTGCAGTTCTGCAGGGATAACTGCTCACCATTTTGCAATGTTTGTTTCCTTTCCAACAAAAAGAAGTTGGTGTAGTCATAAACTATAACTCGAATAAATAATCCAAACACTATATCCTACTAATAAACATGAGAAGGAAATGTCTGAACTATTTTCATAAACATGATTGTGGTATGTACTAATCTTATCCATCAAATAATATATGTAAAGCATTTACCTTAAACTAGCTTTATAATTATTCTTGTTTGGCAGGTTTGAATCTGGTTCTCTAGAACAATTTATGAGTTGGAATATAGATGGTTATTGAAATTATGGATTTAAAAAAAAATTTTAAGGTTTATATACTGAGTTTTAAAGCTGTTGTAGGCAGAATTTTAAACAACAGGATCTAGTGGAGTGACCAATGATGCTGGGACCTGATAGATGCAGGGGCTACTCCCAGCTCAGCTGACAACTGTCTACCTACCCTCTGTGACCACAGCTTTCACAGTGGGTGTCTCAGCTTTTTACTCTAAAATAAGGGCAAGGGCTTTTCAAAGTTTGCCTAGTTATAAAACTCTAAGACTTACACCAACTTTTTGTTGCTCGTTTCTCAAACATTAAGAGTTAGAAGCATACTTTACAAACCAGGAGGAATGAGCTTGTTTACTGGGTCAAGGTGCTAGGAGTGGGGCCCCTGGCAGGCCACAGCCAAACCCCTTCTAGAGTCTTTCTCCCCTGGGACGGGCTCTCCAGTTAAGAGCATTCTTCTCTCACGGGCTGGTGGTAAAACAGGCCTGGGGGTGCCTCTAAGCTTGGGAGGAGCCTGACCCTGGACAGTGTGTGGGATGACACATAGTCTGTTTCTCTGTTAGATGTCCAGCAGCAAAGCCATTCCTTTCTTTTCCTTGGATCTGCCTTTCCTCGCCATTGGGGTGGTAAGATCTCAAAGGCTGAGTTCAGGTTGTAAGCGCAGGTGAGAGGGGACTAAAGGACCACTGAGTCTTTTCTAAATGTTATAATGGGCCAGGGCTTCTCAAATCTGCTTGCACAGAACAAAGAGCAGTGCTCAGGCTCCACCAGAATAATTAAACCAGACTCTGCAGGCAGGGCCCAGGCATCTGTATTTTTTTTAAAGTTCTACTGGTGATTCTAACATGCAACCAATACAGAAAAGCCTGACTTTAAGTCATACATCTCACCTGTAGCACAGGTAGAGGGAAGATTTCAAAATTAACACTACAGAATTCTTCAAATAATTCTGCTGTGAATGGTGGAACATGTTAGATTATTTATAAAAATATAAAGGACAAGAAACAAAAATACATATTGCTAATGTTCTGATTGTATTCAAATTTTTATTTTTTGAACAAAAAAGACAATGATTTTAAATAATAAACATGGTATATTCTAGACACTTGGTGTTTTTTTTTAGACGGTTTATTAAATTTGGACTCCTACAGTTCTGCTGTGATGCTTTCTTCATCATTATAATAACATTTATATTATTTCTTGCCATTTTATCATTGCTCTAAACTTGCTAAACAAAGAGTCACTCTGTCTGGTTAAGTGAAGCTTCACTGGAAGGAAATACTCCACTACCACATTAATAACACACATATACAGAACAGTCATTTTTTATATTTACAAACACAAGAAGTCTGTCCAGCCATTTGGGTTTTGTTGTTACACTGCCCATACCGAGATCAGCAAAAAGCTAAGGAATAAGCAAGATTTCACTTCAGCAGTGCAAAGGATGGCATCAACCAAACTTCGTTAAACAAACCAACAAATTACAAACACGGTCAGCAAAATTCAGCTTGCATGATACTGACTTAAAAAAATAAACAGAGTGGGTCACAACTAGACTGGTTTTCGCTATGCAACTTTCCTCAGGGAACAATACTACCCCCATTTCACGTAGAAAGGAATATGCATCAGAGCCTTTGTTCATGAAGAAAATGCCCTTCAAACAAATTCATCATAAGGCAAAAAAACAAAACAAAATGAAAAACTGAATGAAGCAGTTTGGCCCAGAGAAAGCTTGTATATACCGTGTACACTCAGTATACACACATTTACAGATATACTGCAATTTAAACCATGTATATACTCATTAGACAATTAAATGAAATTGGCTCAGTGAAAAAGTGTCCATTTTTAATAAATATGTAGTTATTGCTAATATGTGACACATTATGCTTTGACATGGAAATTGCAGTAACTTAAGAGTTTGAAGCTGCCATATTGCCAGTGTCAGCCCTGCAGCAGGCATTCATATGGACAACATGCCATCCAGTCCTGAAGAGCAAAACGTCCACTACAAAAAAAAAAAAAAAAAAAAAAAAAAAAAAAAAAAAAAAAAAGAAAAATGAAAGGCTTATGCACTGTCCCTTACATTTCTGCCTATTCCTTTTTTTTTCTTTTAAACAAAAACAAGTCCAGCTCACCACAAGTTAAGCACAACCTGACAAGCGAGGTTAGCGGCATGATGGAAAGAGAAGAGTGAAATACAGCATGCATTTACAACCAGAACTGCTCTAGTCTATTTTGTCATACAAACCGGAATACAAAAATCCAATTTAAATAAGACTAGACTAACAGTAATAGTAAATTAAAAAACAAAACAAAACAAAACACACACACACACACACACATAGACTTAGTTGGATACTGATTAATTTTAAGAGTAAAACTCATCCTGTCCCCTCTTAATACTCTACTGCAATTTATTTATTGATGGCTAGAATATTTATTTACTTAAAAAAGATATTAAATACCTGTATCATGAAATTACATTCTTTTTTAACAATAAGACAGACCGTGTAAGAAAATAGCTCATGTGCGAAATGTGTCTGAAATGCATTTTTCCTCACAACTATCAAAACATCCATTCACACTAAAACAAACCCCCCCACCCCACCCCCTGCAAAAAGTTAAGGAAAGATGGGATGGGTCAGGTGAGGAGCAGGGAAGGAAAGACTTACCAGCACAGTGATTAACAATGGTTCAAGACAGAACCAACAAGAGTTGGTCAAAAAGATGCCTTCAAGACATGGCTACAATTAAAAACCAAACTCAACCACTTTTGGTTCGTTGCGGTGAGACCGAAAAAATATTTCTCACAGATTCATATAAATACTAGACTCCAGCTCTTCTGTTATTATTATTTTTAAAGTTTTTCCATTTGTTTTTGCAAGGCCTAGCTACCATATTACAGTTTATATTTCCTCTGCAACGACTACAAGAGGTAGGCATAAAGCATGAAAAAGTTTCTCAGTTAGTACCTCACTGCAGGCAGTTCACTGCATTAAACCTTTCACTTTAGACATGAAAAGGGATTGCACCTTCTGGTCTTTTCGAGCCCCCCAAACAAAGCTGTTACCATCCCATACATATTCTAAATGAGTGTACTCACCAATAAGAAACTTTCTCTACTGAAGGATACTGTCATAGTGTTTGTTGCAGAACATTCATATATATATAGATAGATTTATTTATTTATGTATTTTTAAAAAGTAAACAAACAAACAACAACAAAAACCGAACCCAGGTTCCTAGAACCAATTCTCTTGATTCTCTACTTCCACAAAATAAAGTATAACCATTTGGCCAAGACTACAGATGTGTTTTTTTTCTTTTCTTTCCTTTTCACAGATGCAAGTGCCATGCAAAATAAATTAGAGAACAGATACCAAAACATACATGTGATAAAACTACTGAAGGTAGATTTTTTAAAAGCATTTATATAAACATAATTTATAATCCTCTTTTTTTCCTTATGTACAGTCACAAAGCTGTAGTTAGACATCTAGGATTTCCTCGGCTGTGCCTCCACAGCGTAGTCTGTAGCGACCAGTTCTCCAGCTTATCGTTGGGTCCCATAATGCCGACAAAAAAATGTATATTGTCATGGATTCACGGATGAACCAAGCTACAGCATAATCAAGTTTTGAAAAACACAGTGTGCCACCCTAGGAATTAAAAAAATAAATTATGTACTGTCAGACTAAAGACAGTTTAAAAAATGAAATTCTTCAATTCCACTCTTTTAAATACACTATAAGTCAAGTCTGCTTCTTAAGATAATTCAACTGTCATGCTATATTGGTTAAGGAAATGTTAATTAGGAAAAAAGCAGCATTAAAATAACTGCTATCCTAACATATTCTTAGTTTGAAGACTTGTTGATTTGCTTAACATCATTCTTTTTTTTTTTTTTTTTTGGAGCCTTAATAAAATGATTGTATAACCAGCTGAAAGTTGAAAATCAAGTTCCATTTTGTGTCCACGTTCCACTAAGGAAAGTAATGCTTAAACCTGATTTTAACCTTCACTGGGAGGCTGAAGAATGGCTCAGATAGATTTTCTTCAACTTCTTCTAAATCAAAAGTGTTTTAGTTCCACCAAATGACCGCCAACTTTCCCAAGCCTATCCACATACCTGGACACCCCTGAGTTGAATGTAGTCAAATATAAACCATGCCAGGCAATGACACATGAAAAATACCATAATATCCCATCTGAATACATGGTGGGCTGCCCATCCAATAATTAAACTGGCAACAAAGCATTCTGAAATTGGCTCACAAATTATTGTTGCAGGAAGCATGTTAATTCGCAATTTGGTCCACCTTAAACAAACAAACAAAAAGGGATTTTCTTTAAACAACAGCCTGGTTACAAGACTAATCAATTTTTCTCAAAATGATCAGCATTTCATCCTGTTATATAAAAGCCTTTTATATAAACTTTAAAGAGTATTTAATGAATCTCTTTTCTATTTTTATTTAGTATCTCAAAGAAAAAAGTCTATCAATTCATTTGTATGGCCTATACTCTGATGAATAAAGATCATAAAATTCAAAGGGTAGAAAGTTAGAAAATAGAGATTGGCATAAAAAAATTCAAAGTCTCAACATCTCTTTTTTGAAAGCTTTCAGTGTTACATAGGAAAGAAAATATATTTAGACGTTAAATTTATTTTAATAAAGAAGTTAACCTCTCTTCTGGAAATAAAATCTGACTTTTAGTTTTTCTGTTAAAACCAAGTTAAAACCATGTAAAAATTACTCTCCCTTCCCCTTTTCTTTTAATAAAGTATAAAAAGACTTTTTTATACTTTATTAAAATATTTTATTAAATCAGCTGACTTACCTGATCATTCTGGATTGAAACTGAGAAATTGAATACGAGCCAGAGTTTTGCATTGCAACTTGAGTGGACATTGCAAACCTCCAACCTCTGAAAATTAAGACAATTATAAAATGAGCTATGATGATGAACACATGCAAGCATGACTGATTATGCATTTATTCATCCCTATAAAGAGTAAGAAACATTATTTCAGTAGCCAAAGATATGGAAGTACACACACACACACACACACACACACATGAATATTAGTCATAAAAAAAGAATGAAATCCTGTTATTTGCAACAATGTGCATGGACCTTAGAGGGTATTATGCTTAGTGAAATAAGTGAGACAGAGAAAGACAAATAGTGAAATAAGTGAGACAGAGAAAGACAGTCTGTTATCACTTATATGTGGAATCTAAAAAATAAAACAAATGAATGACTAAACAAAAAAGAAAAGACTCACAGACTTAGAGAACTAGTGGTTACCAGTGGGGAGATGCAAGGAGCAAGGGGCAAGAGGATGAAGAGATAGAAACTACCTTGTATAAAATAGGCAACAAGGATATATTGCACAGCACAGGGAAATATAGCCATTATTTTGCTATAACTTTAAATGGAGTATAATCTATAAAAATACTGAATCACTATGTTGTATACCTAAAACTATATAATACTGTAAACCAACTATATTTTAATTAAAAAAAAAAAAGTGAGCAACTGTCAGTGTTCAGGGTGAGCCTCGTCCCAGGATAGCACCCTACGTAGGGTATATCATACTTATACACATTTTAGTCATTACAGAGGCCCATGATAGTACCACCTGAGAAATGGAAGGAACAACCCCTCAGTTCACAGTTTAATAAACTTAAAATACAGACATTCTGAAAGTACTAAATAGAGTGGGTCCTGTATTTAATAGTTTAGTCTCTGAACACTATTAATCAAAAAAAAAAAGTGGGGGGGCAGGGTATGAAACCAAAAGTGGCATTCTGTATCTCATGAGAAACGCTATGAAACCATGGACCACATTAACACCATCAGGAGAGAAGTTTAAAAACATACTTCAATTTTTAAGATCACATCTTTAGTAAATTATCAGACAAGGAAATGACCCCCTTTAAAAAAGCAAATGAGTGTCACTGTGTGATAGAGAAATGTTATTAAGTCAATCATGTGGCTTCTTAGCAAAGTATCAAATAATCTACTGAGAAATTTCAAAATTTGAAATCATATTCTTTAAATTTTCACCTACTGGTTTATGACTGCACTGACATTTTTAATTCTTCTAAAACACATAAAAATTTACATCCATAATAATGAAAATTTAAAATCACAGAGAAGCTTCAATTTAATAACTTCAAACCACACAGTTTTTTTTTTAGGGTTTAAATGTATTTATTTTATTTTTAAATTGAAGTATAGTATAACATTAATTTACAATGTTGTGTTACTTTCAAGTGTACAGCAAAGTGATTCAGTGTGTATGTATCTGTATGCTATACAGTAGGTCCTTGTTGTTTACCTGTTTTATATAGTGCATATATGTTAACCCCAAACTCCTGAGTTATCTCCCCCACCACTCCTATCCTCGTTGGTAAACATAAGTTTGGTTTCTATGTCTGTGAATTTATTTCTGTTTTGTAAATAAGTTCATTTGTATTGTTTTTTTAGATTCCATCTATAAGTGATACTATATGATATTTGTCTTTCTCTGTCTGACTTCACTTAATATAATCTCTAGGTCCATCCATGTTGCTGCAAATGACATTATTTCATTGTTTTTTATGACTGAGTAATATTCCATTGTATATTCAGACCACATCTTCTTTATCTATTCATCTGTTGATGTGCATTTATGTTGCTTCCATGTCTTGGCTATTGCAAATAGTGCTGCTATGAACATTGGGGTGCATGTATCTTCAAATTAGAGTTTTCTCCAGATATATACCCAGGAGTGGGATTGCAGGATCATATGGTAACTCTATTTTTAGTTTTTTTTAAGGAAACTCCATACTGCTCTAGAAACCACATTAATTTGAAGAATGTAGAGAAATTAGAACACTTATTTGCTTCATTAGTACATAACGGAATAATTAATAGGAATTACATTCTAAAAGTATTGAACTATTCTGTACTCACTAGCAAAAAATAAAATAAAATAGCTCTTAATCCATGGGTTTAACAAACAGAGTAAACCAACAGAAGTTAGGAACCAAAAATGTAACAGCCTAATTTAATTTAGTTTTCTTACCGGTCAGCTATTGCTTTGGCCATAAAGTAATCTTCAGCAATGTACTGAGCAAAAGCTATAAGCCCTCCTGCTTGATCTAACACATCCTTTCTCATTAAACAAGACATTCCCGTCACACATTTGAAACCAGTGACATTGGCAGAGATATAGGACCTTGGATGAGAGGTTCCAAAATACACCTGCCAAAACAAAGCCAAAAACATATGTATACAATTAGAATTTTATGTTAAAAGTATGATGTTTATAAATTCTTTTTCCTAATGAATTTCAGTATGATTGGGTGAATATTCTATTATTCTTACAGAAATTACCTGAGTAAAAAGTGGTACAAAGTAATATTTACATATAGCAAGCAGTCAATAAATTTCTTAATTGATTGACTACACTTGTCATTATCACAATTACAAATAAGTATTTACTTCTAGGAGGGAAAAGTATATTTTATTCTCAAATAAATACTGTCTTCTCTAAAACTCCAAGATTTAAAGATTTACTGAAGTAAAACTTAATTTGGATTTGAATCAGACAGGTAAAAAATATCACTCACTTCATATAAAATATTAATATTTAATGTGTTTTCAGAATGTTCATATAGATATACACACATCTACATATATAGGTATATGTACATACACGTATATGTGTATATGTATGCATGTGGCTACACACATGTGCACATTCATACACACAATATTTATAGGTACATCAACCAACAGAACAATCCTATTTCTTAATTCCTTTTCTTGTGTCCTTTTATATAGCTGGCTATTTCCTGCCGGAGTCACTGAGCTTCCCAACTTCCCCATTTTTCAATGTATTTTTCATAAATAGGGTGGATACTAATATTCTGTCTTCCATTTTACTGCCTTTTTCCTAGATGTGCTTTGAAGTCATGAGAAACGCAAACTACTAAATTAATGGTAGAATTAAATGGTCATCACCCAACTTATCAGATATAAAACATATTTATTATTTACATCTTAGATATTCTGCCTTTTGTAATTAGTCATCTCTCTGTATCCTAGGGGAATTGGTTCCAGGAGCCCTGTACCAAAATCCACTGATGCTATTTGCATATTATCTACACCTGTCAGATTACTTATAATACCTAATACAATGTAAATGCTATGTAAAGAGTTGTAAATACAATGTAAATGCTATGTAAACAGTTGCTGGTGCAAAGCAAATTCACATTTTGCTTTTTGTAACTTTCTGGAATTTTTTTTCCCGAATATTTTCAACCTATGGTTGGTTGAAGCCACAGATGTAGAACCCACAGATTTAATACAGTTAACTTCAGGTAGCTCATTCCAACTCTCAGCATAGTCTCAAGCTTCTGGGAGATTAGGGATCTGATAACAAGAATATTATTTAATACTTTTTTACACGGGCCTCTCACTGCTGTGGCATCTCCTGCCGCGGAGCACAGGCCCAGTGGCCCACGGGCCCAGCCGCTCTGTGGCATGTGGGATCCTCCCGGACTGGGGCACGAACCCGTGTCCCCTGCATTGGCAGGTGGACTCCCAACCACTGCGCCACCAGGGAAGCCCAAGAATATTATTTATAACCATTGCACTTACCTGTTCTAGTGTGGCAGCAAAGCCCTGTCTGTCTGCTACATATGGCAGCCCGTGAACCAGGCCTACTTTCTCTGTCATTTGGTTAACCATGTCCGTGAGTGTGTCTGGAATCACTGGGATGCAAAAGAAAAAATGGTGCAGAGGGAGAGAGGAAAAAATTTCCTTTTAGTAAAATGCCCACTAACGTAAAATATAATTTATGAGTTATTAAATTCTTAATAAATGTTTTTCTTTGTATGTGGGTCTAATAAAATGAATCTCAATCACCTTTCTGAGTAGAATACAAAATTTCAAAGAGGTTAACTTATGGTAGTGAATTTATTCTGGACACTTGCAGGCTGGTACATACCTAATATGTAGCAGGGGCAGGATGTACCTTGAAAACGTTAACAGTCCATTTCTGAACCTCCCAACTGGAATAACGGACAATATGTCCTAGTACAAAAGGTACAGGAGCAGAGGTCAAAGGGGCTCAGTGTTCACTACGACTCCTCCATTCCAACCATAGGGAATAAGCCTCCTCTTTCTGGGGGTATGAGATATTCTCTCTCAAAACTGCTAATTGGAACTGAAGGAGAATATACTTGACAGAGATTGATACACTGAAAACATAGCAAATATATGATAGTAAATAATTTAAGATAGAAAATGTGAAAAATGAATGTAATCTCTGACCATGAATTGATAGATTTGTAATGATCTAATTAAGTAGGAGTGCCACACTATTAATTTTCAAATTTGCACATTTCAAGCTGATAAAATTTAAATCATTTCCCCATTTTTAAATAGCAAATATCTCATATCATTTTATACGACTTCATTTTTATTTCCTTCAAGTATTTAAGAACTAAATCTACTGTATAAACTTGTATTTGGACCTTAAATACAGGTAGTCTGGGTAGTGGTTCTCAACTGCTGCCCTGTAGGGGACATTTGGCAATGTCCAGAGACAGTTCTGGCTGTCACAACCAATAGCGGCTATCACTGCATCTAGTGGGTAGGGGCCAGGGATGCTGCTAACCACCCTGCAGGACAGCCCTGACAACAAAGAGTTACCCAGCCCAAAAGTGTTGAGGTTGAAAAACTTGAGGTAATTAGAATATAATAGAATATTACAGAACCAAGATTATTATAAGTATAAATGTTTAAAAATGCAAAAATACAAATTATAATTTCAATGTATTGATATTGAAATTATAATTTCAATATAATTGAAAACATTATTATTGAAATAATTCCTGATAAAATCAGCTAGGTAAAAAGCCATGAATGTATTCTAATAAATGTATGTAATTCTAGTAAAATATGCACCTATTAATTTCTGTCCCTTTGCATGAGACAGTACATTGCGCATGCCACAAACAGATTAAAGTAAAAGATGTCACATGAATAAGGGGAAACTTACACCTAGAAAAAGCTCATAGACTATATAACGGACCACGACTATTTTTTTTTTTTTTTGGCTGCATTGGGTCTTTGTTGCGGCACACAGGCTTTTCTCTAGTTGCAGCGAGTGGGGGCTACTCCTTGTTGAGGTGTGCAGGCCTCTTACTGTGGTGGCTTCTCCTGTTGCGGAGCACGGGCTCTAGGCGCGCGGGCTTCAGGAGTTGTGGTGCATGGGCTTCGCTGCTCCGCGGCATGTGGGATCTTCCCGGACCAGGGCTTGAACCCGTGTCCCCTGCATTGGCAGGTGGATTCGTAACCACTGCGCCATCAGGGAAGTCCCGACTTTTTTTTTTTTTTTTTTTTTTTTTTTAATAGTTGGAATTTTCTCTTCAAAATGAAAACATTTTCATACATGTAACATTCTAGGTTAGTATAAAAAACATCAAAATCTTAGTAAGTATAACTTGACATATTACCACGAAATGATAAAATGAATTACTTTATTAGGCAAACAAATAGGATTGATAAATGTATTCTCAGACTGCTCTTGGCATTTTATCATTGAATGAATAGTTCTGCAAAATAAATAAGAAAAACCTCACCTCTTATTCCACTATCACAAATCCATATAAGATCATACTTTGCAACTTCATATCCTGGCATTAAATTGTTAATTTTAGGATTAATGCCAACCTTTTTGCCACCTAAAAATTTTAAAGTACAGCAGTGAACAATTCATGCAATATTGGAAATATTTTCTATTATACATATGCATAGTAGACAGAAGTAAAAAGTACTTGCAGGTTTAATAATTTAAACAAACATACTTTAACATTATGTTTCTCTTGAGACACAGATGTAGAGAACAAACGTATGGACACCAAGGGGGGAAAGTGGCATGGGGTGGTGGTGGACACTGGTGGTGGGATGAATTGGGAGATTGGGATTGACATGTATACACTAATATGGATAACTAATAAAAACCTGCTGTATAAAAAAATAAATAAAATAAAATTCCAAAAAAAAAAAAGAAAATAGTAGGTGAAACCATCATACTTTAAAAAAAGCCAAAAAACCCATTATGTTTCTTATTATTCATAATAATGTATTTAGAAAAAAATTGTTCATTCTCAAAAAGAAAATTAATCTTTGAAAATTCATTAGTTTCAGTTTTCTAATTCTTAAGTGCTTGCATTAATAGTAAACATTAATCAATATTTAATAGCAAATATACCTCTAATTAGTCTTTAGAATAAGCCTGTAGACTTTTGGAAAAATATTCTTTTTGCAATTTTACAAAAATGAATTCTATTCCTCATTCCCAATTATAATCAATGAGATACAGAAAAGGCCATAGATTGAAAATATTAAAGAAACAAAAATAACAGGCTCATGTCTGACTGACGAGTAAAACATAATTTGGGGTAATTCTGTTAATCCCAGATATGAAAAAAAATCTTTGTCTTTATAACTTAAGTCTTCTCAAAAGGACAGAAACAGCTTTCACTGTATCTAACAAACATGCATAAAGCAAACATGCTAATAACTTAATGGGTGTCTAGCACCCTAATCTATAGTTTAATGCAAAGAAGATTACTGATATTTAATATATTAAAGCAAAAAGGTTATTGTAGAATTTGTTACTTACCTATAAACAATCTAGCATCAACATTTGGATATTTTCCAAGAAGCTTCTTACACACATCAATGGCTGGATCATCATGATCTTGGACACAGAGGAGTACTTCATACTAGTCAAAGAACACATTTTATGTAAATTAACCTCTTTTCCAAAGATAACCACTTATTAGCATTTACTGATGGATCAAAAAGCATTAAGAAAAACAAGCAATTGTACACACAAAGTTTAAAAGTTAAGAGAGTATTCATAATGGATGCAGACACTTAAAGGATTATCAAGTGTTGCTTTAACCGAGAGCAGCTTCTCCAGGAGGGGCCTCTTTGCAAGCCAAAGAGAGAATGAAGAGATTGGCAGGGCCCACAGCTGAAGTCTTGCCACTGCCAGATAGGCATGGCCTAATAATTCAACTGGATTCCAAGCTTCTCCATGGCCTTCATCACTGAAGATTTACTAGATGCTCACAGGGTGCCTAGCAGTGTAAAAGCAACACAGAAAGCAACCAAAATGAACACACCCTTTGTTCTCTAGAAGCTTTGTCTCTGAACTTAATATCATTTCATCAAGGTGCTAAAAATTACATATTGAATACCACTATGATAAATTTAAAGGTTTCCCAAACTCTTCACAAGGACAAAATGAGATTAGATTTTTTGTTGTATAATAATTTTCTGAAGTAAAATAGAATCTGATTTGATTAAAATTGTATCCTGAAAAGCACACTTAGCCTTTTAACTATGAAAACACCCAGGATTTTATTTTGCCCAGACCCATGTTTACTCTCTTTTTTTAAAATTTTTTTAATTTTATTTTTTTGGCTGCACTGGGTCTTCGTTGCTGTGCGCGGGCTTTCTCCAGTTGCAGCAGGCTGGGGCTACTCTTTGTTGCAGCACGCGGGCTTCTCATTGCGGTGGCTTCTCTTGTCGTGGAGCACGGGCTCTAGGCCTGCGGGCTTCAGTAGTTGCGGCACTAGGGCTTAGTTGCTTCGCGGCATGTGGGATCTTCCCAGACCAGGGCTCGAACCTGTGTCCCCTGCATTGGCAGGCGGATTCTTAACCACTGAGCCACTGGGGAAGCCCTATGTTTACTCTCTGGTAGTACACTAAGGAAGACATTTCTTAGCACTTGGCTGGCTGTGTCAAAATTACCCTCGGACAGTTTTTTAAATACTGGGCCCCACTCTTAAACTTCTGAATCAGAGCATATGAGGGGATTCTGACATGTAACCAAGTTTATAAAATCTTGAGCTCTAAGATACCATTTAGTAAACTACTAAATTTTTTTAAAGTGTTTGCTTTCACACATAAAGATGCTACTCTATTGTTTTGTGGGCTATGTATTCTAAGCAGTAATTTTTTTCAAAAGTGGTGATAAATTCATGCTGACTCAATAGCAAATTTCCTACCAAACCTTCTTTCTAAGACAGATTGAACATTTTTTTTTTAAATTAATTAATTAATTTATTGGCTGTGTTGGGTCTTCGTTTCTGTGTGAGGGCTTTCTCTAGTTGCGGCGAGCGGGGGCCACTCTTCATCGCGGTGCACAGGTCTCTCACTGTCATGGCCTCTCTTGTTGCGGGGCACAGGCTCCAGACGCGCAGGCTCAGTAGTTGTGGCTCACGGGCCCAGTTGCTCCGCAGCATGTGGGATCCTCCCAGACCAGGGCTCGAACCCGTGTCCTCTGCACTGGCAGGCAGATTCTCAACCACTGCGCCTCCAGGGAAGCCCAGATTGAACATTTTTAAGCAAAGGAGGAAGGTTAATTATGTCCATGAGAAAATAACAAAGCTATGTGTTGTAAAAAATACAAAAATTTGAGGGCACAATTTTTTAGGTGTCTAACATACAGGGACTAAAGCTAAGGTAATGGGAAGGTCTGTTTGATTTACTTCCATTGATAAGCATACACAAGTAAAAAGTGGAAATAAAATGTGTACAGTGCCTTGAGCACAATAATTACTGTTCACCTAATATATTGATATATTATGTCAGCAAAAAGTGGCAGCATAGAATTTAGTGGTCGAGCACAATAAGGACTAGGACTAAGGTAAATAAAGAAAGTTTAGCTAACAAGGTAAGATTTTTTTTTTTCAAGTGAAAAAAAAGTTTTCTCAATAATTAAGTAGAGACCTGGATGGACCTAAGAGTCGGTCATACAGAATGAAGTAAGTCAGAAGGAGAAAAACAAATATCGTATATTAACGCAAATATGTGGACTCTGGAAAAATGGTACAGATGAACCTATTTGCAGGGCAGGAACAGAGATGCAGACGTAGAGAAGGGACGTGTGGACACAAGGTTGGGGGAGGGTGAATTGGGAGATTGGGATTGATATATATACACTACCATGTGTAAAACAGATAGCTTGTGGGAAGCTGCTGTATAGCGCAGGGAGCTCAGCTTGGTGCTCTGTGAGTGGGATGGGTGGGATTGTGGCGGGGGGGTGGTGGTAGGAGGGAGCTCCAAGAGAGGGGATATATGTATACATATAGCTGATTCACTTTGTTGTAAAGCAACTATACCCCAATTAAAAAAAAAAAAAAAAGTAAAGGGGAAAAGCAATGTATACTTTCCTCATACTTTCTACCTATAGTTATTACATATTCTATCCAATATCTACCTCTCATGATGACTGACCAAAATTGCCACCTTAGAGGTACTGAAATAATTAAGCAACTTTACAGCCACTGGTATCCAGAGATCAGATAAAAATCTGAGAGTGGGATGGGCACCATTCCTGCCACACCCTGAAACTTCTTCAAGGGTTGACTCTTAAGTCCCATAAAAAGTCAGCCATCCTCCCTACCGAAATGTTTGCTTGAGCCAACAAGAGGCAGACCTTAACCATGAAGATTATAAAGGTTAAGTGACTTTCCAAAGGGTGTAAGCAACAATGAGCTTTCCTACTATAGTGAGTTGCTCAGTCAGGCTTGCTCTAAAGAGTTCATTGTTTTTCCAAACATAGCATAGTTTTATGCTTTTATAATTTATACTGTTTTACAGGTATAAGTAAATCTAGTGAAAGAATATGTTTATAAGTAATACAATTCCATAAAATATTATTAAAAATCTCCTCTTGGCTTTTTCCTCAGCAAGAGAAAACTCTGTAATATATAGTACTAGACATCTACTCAATGGGAAGAAAAAGGCTATACTAGGTTGTAGCAAAAACTTTTTCAGAAGTATATGGTGTTAGTATAAGTAAGGGAGGTATAGTTTACCTTTATCTAAATGCAAGATTTAAAGTTTTTGTTTTTATTGATTATACCTCTTAAACTTAATTTCAAATGAAAAACAAATACCTCCTGATTAGCCAGAGCGCAGATGAAACTCAATTCACTTTATCTAAAAAATGTTCAGACTCTTATTAAAGATATAACTTTCCCTTAGATGTTTCTGATATTAAAAATTATACCAAATTGGAGGTAGTATTCCAAGTGTTTTCTAAAGTATTAGATTTTAACCAAGAATCTTCATTTTTCAGCTAGAATCTCTATGTTTGATCAACATTTAATTTGCTAGGAATTTCTGTACTTAAACAGTTAAATCACTCCGACTACACGGCAATTAGTAAAACATAAGATATTAAGTTGATTAAGTTTTTTTTTTTTTTTTTTTTTTTTTTTTGGGGGTCGGGGAGCCTCTCACTGTTGTGGCCTCTCCCGTTGCGGAACACAGGCTCTGGACGCGCAGGCTCAGCGGCCATGGCTCACGGGCCCAGCCGCTCCGCGGCATGTGGGATCTTCCCGGACCGGGGCACGAACCCGTGTCCCCTGCATCGGAAGGCGGACTCTCAACCACTGTGCCACCAGGGAAGCCCTAGGGTAAATTTTGAGTGAAAGATAGATGCTTCCTTTGAGTGAAAGGAAGATGTTTTGTAAGAAAACTGCTCTGAATTCAAAGTTTTGATAAGTTATATCAAAAACTTACTTTCAAGAACTAGGTAGTTTACATGATTTTTCAAATTTATTTGGTAAAACACTAATCTTTCAGACGTAGTAGTTTTATTACATGTATTGTGCCGATCTTTCAATAATTGAACCTATTTTCAATCTTTTTAAATTCTTTATTGTCATCAGTGACAATAAAGAATCCAAGTATGGCACTGGACTTAAAACATTTAAAACCCATTCTGTATTTGCAAGAAAGAAAAGAAAATCACAATTACCATAACCTCACTCTGTTAATAACTCTGATCATTCATTTAAAAATTCTTCATATGGCCAGAATTTACTAAAGTAAAGCCATCAAGACACTTTAGATGCAGATTACTGACTCCTCCTACTATGGCTGAATTTCTGCCTAAATGCCTTCTTCTATGCTGATGCCAAATGAGTACTCGATTTTGTGAAAAATGAATTGTATTCATTTTTTTATTCTTATATTTTTTCCAAGAATTTTTTTCCCCAAGGAATAAATATCAATACAAGGTGGATTTACAAGATATTTAAAGCATAGATGTCTTTCAGGGCACTTAGTATAATAACAGTCTCACCAAAATTTAAACCTAGAAATTCAGACCAAGTGTCAGTAATAAATCTTCTTGCACATGTCTAAAATTAAATGAAATTTTAGAATTTCCGTATGTTATATACATATTTCCAAATGGCCTATAAGGTTCCAAATCAAATAATAGAGGAAAGAGTTACATCCAGAACAAAAACGTTTCCATACTTTTATAAAACAATGTTCACATTTGACAAATGGAGAATATTAAAGTGTGCTGGGCCTGGCAGTTACACAAATGTTCATTTCATGACTATATGCCTCCTTGATGACACAAACAACTCGTGTTCACACTCAGATTTGTGCGATTTCAGTGGTTTAACTTCAGTCTCCTGTAGAATTGCCATTGCTTTTGATCTTTTAAAAAGCAAATATAGTGCGGTGAGATCAACATTTCCCTTTAGACTGCAGGTACTTTGCACTTTTGCTCTGCTTTCTATATGTTCTTTTTACACAGCTAACAATTCTTTTGTAATTAGAAAATAAAATTATGAACTAAAAAAGAATGAAAACAATCTCTTGCATATAATGTTATTCATTTTTGTAATGTGTCAAAACAGCTTCCTCCTCAACCAAATAAATGTCTTAATGACATAACTTAAGCGGAAAAAGAACTTAAGTGGAAAGAGAACTAAGTGAAAAACTAGAGCTCTGGAGATAATTCCAAACTGTATAAAAAAAAAAACTTCATTCAGAAGAAGAAATCAATTATTGATTCATCCCAAATGTTCACAGTTAATGGATACATATGTTCCTGGGGTTATTTTAAGAAACTCTTTACACCCACACTAACTTCCAAAACCATTTTAAATTTCATGACTATTATCTCACAAGAGCAGCAACATAAAAATTCCATAACTAAGTTTTAAGAGTGGTTGAATAGGGAAAGGGGAAAGGGTTGGAAGATGGTTAAAAAACTGAAATTTGTGAGATTAAGTTTCACAAGGATAAATGCATATGGTTCCACACTATGCTCTGAAATTTATTCATAATCAATGAAAATATTCTTTCATTCCAAAAATAAATTCTCCTTTACATTCACTTATATAAGGTGAGGCTTGAAAAACTTCCATTTTTCTTATTGCAAAGCTTATTTTACAATTAATTTTGTTTGTCTCATCCTTCCTGAATTATCAAAGGCCACTTTTTTGCATTTTTAATTTGAAAAAAAAAATCAAGTACCAATCTTCTTATTTTTTCTAATTATATATTTAATTTATTGAAGATAATGCATGCATATGATTCAGGTCTCTAAAATTATTAAATATAGACACACACATAAAGTAGAAGAAATAAATAATTTTCTGCTACAAATTAGCTTCAAATGCCTGGACTCCAAAGCTCCAAAAGCAATAATATAGCAACACTAAAAAATAACTGAATGATACTCATGTCTACATACTGAATAAGAGCTGAATTAAGGCTACCATGTCTGTGTCTTCTTCCTCTTAAAAGAAACGAAATAACAGCGTGAAAACCAGTCACCATGAGAGTGTGGTGTGTAGATGTCATCTTCTTTCTCACTACTTGGGCGACATTGTTCTAAAGAAATAGGAAGGAAAGAGTCTCCGACTGGCAAAAACTATGGAAAAACTGAGGCAATGATGGTAAAAACTGAGGAAAGTGAGTAGAGACCACAGAGGGAAAATTAAACTGGACTGAAAATCAAGCAGGTAGAAATTTAGACATATTTTCACAAGTAATCTACCACTGCTAGAACATGCTTTCAAAAGCAGCATCTCAAATAGGCAATTGAAAAAGTTGCCATAAAACTAAATACAAAAATTAAGGAATATTAAGTTTTCCTAAGAAACTAAAGGGAAGAAATAAAAAGAATACTCCCATCTCAAGAAAACTGAAGTCTCCAAGGAAGGAAGTACATTGAGTTTATAGATGAATAGATTATACAGATAAAAGACATAAGCAATACAATTAGGTATTAAACCCCAGAAAAATCAAGAAATCAAAAATTAGGTGTTTTTTTTTTAACATCTTTATTGGAGTATAATTGCTTTACAGTGGTGTGTTAGTTTCTGTTGTATAACAAAGTGAATCAGTTATACATCTACATATGTCCCCATATCTCTTCCCTCTTGCATCTCCCTCCCTCCCACCCTCCCTATCCCACCCCTCTAGGTGGTCACAAAGCACGGAGCTGATCTCCCTGTGAAAAATCCGTATTGATGAAGCTCCACCTTACCACTAATTCTAACCCCAAAAGTCAGATTCTCAAGGGGATTTATCCTTAGTTCTAGCTGTCCTGCATCCCATTTCTGACCACTGAATATTGCTTTCTCACTTTCACTGTGACTCTCACGGAACAAGATTTTCATACTCAAACTACCGGGCACTTAACACTGTCTGCGTTCCAGGAGCTTTATTCAGGGATTTCTAATTCAGGTTGACATATAGGTAGTTAGAAAAGGAATTTATACCCCTTCCTCAACCCCCCGTTTCTGTCCTTTGATGACAACCACAACTACTACCACTACTACTACTAGAGGATAAATATGATGAAGCCAACACCATCATGCATTTTTAATACCTTCACCTGATACAGTGTCAAAATTTCTAAGTGTTTATTATAAGGGAAAAAAAAGTACGGTCTAGCCCATTCCTATGAGTACAACACTGTACTTACCTTGGGATAATCCAATTCAAAGAATGTTTCCAAGTTGTTGATTAGGTTAGGATCTATTCCTTTCAGTGGTTTCAGAAGAGACACCCCTGGGAGCTTGCTATATGGTTGTTTGTCTGTTGCCTTCTTGTTTAGGTGTAATCGGCTAAAAAGCAAATGATACATATATTAACATACATTTCTGGAGAATATATCAGGGCCAAATCTATATAAAGTATGTATCAAGCTACCAATAAATTACTGAATTTCTTTTTAATTGGCATCTTTCGAAAGGGATATCTGAAAATGACAGAAAGTAGAACCAGGTAAGCTTCCAGTTGAGGAAAACCAGAACTAAGCAGAGTGAATGTTCCAGTGAAGGCTGAAGCTTAAGACTGCTGTTTACTGCTATATTCTCAGAACCCAGAACAGTGCTAGGCCTGGAGCAGGCATTCAATAAATACCGGCTGAAGAAACAAATGACAGTGTTAGCCCACACATTAACTGCCCTTCCTCCCAAATCGCCATCAAGGTGGCCAAAGAACTATAAACATAGCAGGGGAAAAAAAAAACCCTATTTGCACCAGAAAAATATGGAAGAGTAACCAGAAAAATTTGAGAAATTTCTATAACAAACAGTCCACACAACCACTGAGTGAAAGAACTACCAAGCCAGCCTGCATGGCAAGCAAGAAAATGGGATATCTATCAGAACTCCCAATGCTCACCATCTCAGAATGGCAGGGATGGAATAGAGGGAAATTGAAGGTAAGAAAAAAAATCTCAATGGTGACAGAAATGCCTATTAAGGACACTAGAAGATACACCAGTGCCACCAAATCACAGATAAGTTGGCCAAGGTTCTCAGCGCTGCTCCATCCCATGCGGAATGAAGCACAGGGATCCTAATGGGGGAAGCCATGCCAATTAGAGAAGAGAGAATGTGCTCCAGTTCATGTCAGGTTGTCACGATAAAGAGAGGAGATGCCCTTCAGCACAGTGCTGAAGTTTCTAAAGCAAGTCACCAAAGGCGTCTTCCCTCCTTCTCATTAGCCAGTCTCCAAGCACTCAACAGTAATTAGAGGCTGGGACAATCGCGGGGCCAACTGCAGGATATTTTAAGACACAATTCTTCCACATTTTAACATCTCTAAAATCAATGGCATCTTATAGTTGCTGGCAGCCAGATGGCGGCCCGGACTTAATAGCATGAAAACCAACCCTTCTAGAAGATCAAGAAAACGCCAGTATCAATGCATAGTGAAATATACTATTCATCTATGAATGATTTCTGGAAGTACACCAGTACCATCATCCACAGAAGTTAGCCACAGGCTCACTCCCCTAATTAAGGCAGGGGTGTGCTGCAGCAAACATCTCGTGTTTCAGATAAGGCCATAAGCAGGGGTCCCCAACCCCCCGCCCCCCCGCCCCCCCCCCCCCCCCCCCCCCCCCCCCCAGCCGTAGCTACCGTGTCTCCGCCCGTTAGGAACCAGGCGGCACAGCAGGAGGTGAGCAATGGGCAAGTAAAGCTTCATCTGCGGCTTCCCATCGCTCGCATTACGGCCTCAACCATCCCCTCCCCCACCCACGATCCACGGAATAATTGTCTTCCACCCGTCCCTGATGCCAAAAAGGTTGGGGACAGCTGCCAGAATGCATCTTTACGGAAAGAAAAGCAGGCTACTACCTACAATGGAAAAAAATTTAAACCAACAAAAAATTTAAAGAACAGTGTGGTCTCAATTTTTCATCCATAACATCAAACGCCAGAAAATAATGAGTACCATCTACAGCAGTGCTGTTCAGTGTGGCAGTGGTCCACAAGCTGCTTTTTGCTGGCCAATGATGAAAGAAATGGAGAGAAAGCATTTAGAAACTTTTATAGCAGTTTGACATTGCCATGCCATCCAAGCATATGGTCAGTCATTTATTTTCACTGTAGTTTACCAAAGTATCAATCCATGATAGATTGGAAAACTTTTAAAGAACTGATCCTTTGCCACAGATAGTTTGGAAAATATTGATCTACAGAGTTCATCTAGAGGGCTGGAAAGAGGTAAAACCATGATCTAAAATTTATATAACCACAAATATGACAACTATTCCATTTCTAACAAAATAGTAGACTAGATGTCTGGCGAAATCCAACCAGTACAGAACATCAAGATTGCCAGAAGGAAAAGTTTATGTTATATATTTAATTGGTTGAAACAGTTATGTATCCACATGGTTCAAATCACTAAAAATTTTAAGAGGTTCATATAAAAAAGTCTCCCTGCCACTCCTGTCCCACATCTGTCTTGTTGCCATCACCACCTCCCCAGCATTATTAGTTTCTTATCTTTCCAGAGATTTTAAAAAATGCATATTCAAGCCAAAACATACACACACGAAATTCTTACATAATATTTATAATTTTCTCTCCTCCTTCTTAATACAAGCACACTAAAAGCATGTTTTTAAATATATGACTAAACTGTTAGAAATAAAAGGAAAGCGTCCCAAGTCAGAAATGAGGAGAAACCCCTGAGTGAGTAGTGCTGGAGACAATACTTGCACGGGGACCATCTGTTGGTCCCTAGTGACCTAGAACTGGTGACAAGCCTGAGACAGGAATGATAGTAAATCTGTCTGAAGAACCCTGAATAAATATGGAATCTCTTACAGGCAAAGTAGAAAACTTCTGGACCACAGAGGGAAGATGGGGATGCTGCCTATCTTGGATTCAGTCCGAAGCAAAATGGAACAAAAGCAAAAAGGCTCCCTGGAGAACACCTAACCACGTGGGTTTGGAACCCAGAACGCAAACTATAGGTGTTGCTTGAGAAAAACCTAAGAGATGGAACAAGAGAGACCATCATATGTGACCACGAATATATGGAAAGAACTACACAACGTCTAGAAATGAAAATGGCGGTCACTGACATCAGAAACTCAATAGACAGGTCATAGAGAAGTTGCATACACACAGTTCAAAAGACAACTGGAAAACTGGAATCTAGATTTGAAGAAATTATCCAGAATGCAGCACAGAGAGAATGAGAGGCATTGAAATCACGAAAGGGTTTGAGACATGGAGGCTAGAATAAGAAGTCTAAAATCACAGTAATTTTTATCTACTGGTCCCATTGTATGCTCGTTAAGTGCTATTAAACTGTAACAAAACATGCATGTGAGGTGATGACCAATTATGGAAAAACCTAGCCCACTGACACACTGCATTTGGCGAGGCTTTAGATGAAAAACAATGTTAATTTAAACTGTGCTAAACAGTGTAGCGTTGATCCTGTTTTTCCCTTCTTCCCTTTGTCTTCAGTAAGACATTTTACTTTAAATGCTAATATAGATATACCTCCTATCCTTTCATATCAAGAATGCAGCATTTTATCAAAGATAGGCTGACCTGCCAAACAACAATGAAGCCCTCTCCAGGTTTACAGTGAAGCGAATTGATGATAAGTACTATATCTGAAATTTCTACTCAAAATCATTATAAGCGCAACTATATCACAGGACCTTTAAAAAAATTCTCATTTGTGCCTCCTCCCAATATCTGTCTATCTATGTATCTAGTCCTCTCCCTCCCTTCTCCCCCCCACCTCTCTAACATACAAACACACACACAATTTTCCCTCCACACCCTAAGGGGTCATCTTGTAGTTTGCCCCCTAGCATACAAGTATCCTACTTTGGAGAGTACTGTTTTGACTTATGTAATACAACTGACATAGCCCCTTGCTACAAATTACTTGACATGCTTATCAAAAAAAAAAAAAGAATATCCGGGGCTTCCCTGGTGGCACAGTGGTTGAGAGTCCGCCTGCTGATGCAGGGGACACGGGTTCGTGCCCCGGTCCGGGAGGATCCCACATGCCGCGGAGCGGCTGGGCCCGTGAGCCATGGCCGCTGAGCCTGCGCGTCCGGAGCCTGTGCTCCGCAACAGGAGAGGCCACGGCAGTGAGAGGCCCGCGTACCGCAAAAAAAAAAAAAAGAATATCCATTAAGTCAACACGCGTACGCACACACACACAATCACATAGCACTCTGCTGTGCACACAGTGGTGCTCCATGACTACTCAGCGTTCCCTTATTGAACAAATCTATTTTGAGCCCAAATGTACACTAGGCATTATCCTATGCACTGGTGATACCATGATAAACAGACGGACTCCATACTGTCAAGGAGCTGTGCTTTAACGGGGGAGGTGCCCACATACAGAAGCTCTTCTCCCTTTAAAACTCCAAGAGAGGCCAACAGAGCCATGCTCCAGAGCAAGAACACCTACTGGGACTCTGCCTGCCACACCCAGAAATGATGCCGATGGGTACCTTGGCCAGTGTGTTGTAAACTAATTTGCAGTTTTCAAATTATGAACAACAGCCCATTTGCCTGGAGTCTCAAAAGTGGCTTGAATGGAGAAGTCCCCCAAGTGGGCCTGTTTCATGAGTGTCTCTGACAGGGTCTTGCCAGGTTTCCTGGTTTCAAAGCAGCTTTTATTTAAGTATCTCAGGTCAGGGTTTCTGCATTACCTAGGTGGCATGAACATGAGCTTACTGCCCTGACACCTTGCACAGGATTTCCCATGGTTGCCCATTTGCAACCCTACCTTGATCAGGTAACTTGCTTTCTTGCAGGAACCTGGGTACAGCACTTTCTCAGTTTCAGCTGCTATACTGGGAATCCACTTCTACCTTCCCATCGTGCGTTTGGCTTGAAGCCTTGACCTTTTTTTAGGGGAGCCAGGGAGTACTTTTTCTTGATACGTAACACATATAGTAAAGTCACATGTAAGTACACAGCTCAATGAATTTTCTCAAAGTGAAATACTCATGGAACCAGTACCCAGCTCAAGAAACAGAGTCTTACCAGAACCCCAGAAGCTCATGAATGTGCCCTTCTACTAACTACCCTCTCCTCAAGGTAAACACATCCTGACTTCAAACACCATAGACTAATTTTGCTGGTTTTAAAATGTATCTAAATGGGACCCCGTAGGACATACTCTTTTGTGTCTGGCTTCTTTTACTTTACACCATGTTTGTGACCGTCATCCTTGTTGGTACAGTTAGTTATAGTTCCTTCAGTCTCACGACTGCATAGTATGCCTTGTATTAATATACCACACTTTATCTACTTTCTGTTGATGGACTTCTGGGTTGTTT